TTTTTTTTAACGTGGTACCAATTCAGAGGAATAAGTCAAAAAGAACAGAGGAGAAAAATCCAGAAACAAACTAGGGAGGTATAAATTTTTACTAAATGGTAAAGGTGATATTTGAAATTTAACAAATTATTTAACCAACTTATTAACCAGCTGAGATACTTAGCTAAAAATATCAGAAGAAATACTCCTGCCTCATATCATCTACCAAAGTAAATTCTAGGTAAATTAAAGATAAATATATATTTTAATGAACTCATAAAAGCTCTAGGAAAACAAATTTTTCTTCTCTTTATATAGAGAAAAACTTTCTAAAAATACATACAAATTCAGATTTTTAAGAAAAAAATATATTTGACTAAATAAAACTCAGAAAAGTCAGTAGGTATAAAATTACATAAACAAAGTTTAAAATCATAGGACTACCTTTTGCTATTACAAATTAATAAAAAAAATAAACATCCTAAAAGAAATTAAGGCAATTTACAGAAGGGAGAGAAATGGCCAAAAAAAAAAAAGTATGAAAAAGAATTCAACATCGTCCTTACTAAACATATATTCAATTTAAAATAACAAGGTCTGGCCCGGTGGCACACTGGAGAGTGTGCCGCTTGGGAGTGCGGCGGCGCTCCCGCCGAGGGTTCGGATCCCATGTGGAGACCGGTTCCCGCTCACTGGCTGAGCGTGGTGTGGGCACAACACCGAGGGTTGCGATCCCGTTACCGGTCAGTAAAAAAGACAAAAAAAGGAAAAAAAAAATAAAAATAAAATAAAATAACAAGACTGGGGTTGTTTTTCTAACAAATTAGCAAATTGTTTAAAATATGAAAACACTTATTTTGGGGGGGGAAGTGCATTCTCAAGAACTGCTGGACAGGAAGGTGATTTGGCACCATGAAAAGTGGTTGAAAAGGCTCTTCAACCCAACTTTGTTCTTCTAAAAGCATCTTAAAGAACCAGTTAAGGATGTGCGCAAAGATTGACTCTTCCCTCAGAAATCCACATAACTCTTTTTCACCTCATTTGGGCTTGAACTCCTTCACAGTAAGGCCCACATGGCCACCCTATCTAGAATGACAATGCCTCACATACTACTTATCCCCTCTCCCCACTTTATTTTTTCCCAGTAGCATCTATCATATCATATACTTTACTTATGTAGTGTTTATTTTTTTTCTCGCACTGAAATATAAGCAATATAAGGCAAGTATTTTTGTCTATTTTGATCACTGCTATGGCCAGGGACAGTCCTATGTTTTGTGGGGCCTTACACATACACAATCCTGTGGTCTAAGTTCTTTAATCAATTTTAAATTTTCAAATGTGAAAATCTGAGGAAGGCTGGCTGTTTAGCTCAGTTGGTTAGCGAGCGGTATTATAACACAAGGTCAACAGTTTGGATCTCCATACAGGCCAGCCACCTAAAAAACCTGGAAATAAGACAAATATTACAAAATCTAGAAAAAGGACAATTCAGGCAAATTAAAACCACCTCATAATTTGAATTATTTTGATATTGCCTGGGTTCGTGAAGATATGTTCCCACAAAGCCTAGGAATAACCAATATAGTTCAGACAAAAAGAGTTCATTTATTCATTCATTGTTTTACAGATTTATTGAAATTTATTGAGATAATTCACGTACTATAAAATTCACCTATTTAAAGTATACAATTCAAGGGCTTTTAGTATATTTACAGAGTTGTGCAAACATACCACAATAATAACTTAGAACATTTTCATCATCCATGATTAAGTTTGTAGCACATTTTCTCAGCTGATGAACATTTGAGTTGTTTCTACTATTTTTGTTAGTTTGACTTTTTGTTTTACTGTTTTTTATTCAGATGAAAATCACATACTACACAATTCACCTTTTAAAAATGTACAGTCCCATGGTTTTAGCATATTCAAAGAGCTGCACAATCATCACTAATTTCAGAGCATTTTCATCACCCCAGAAGGCACTCCATGTTCATTAGCAGTCATTCCCCTTTCCCCTTCCCCCAGCCCCTGGAAACTATAAATCTCCACTCTATTTCTATGGATTTGCTTATTCCAAACATTTCATGTAAATGGAATTATACAATATTTGGCCTCTTGTGACTGGATTTTTCACTTAATATTTTCAAGATTCATCCATGCAGTAGCATGTATCAGTACTTCCTTCCTTCTTATGGCTGAAAAACATTCCATTGTATGGATAATACCACATTATTCATTCATCAGTCAACGGACATTTGCATTGTTTCCACTTTCTGGAGATTATGAATAATGCTGCTATGAACATCCATGTACAAGTTCTTATGTGATGTATGTTTTCATATCTCCTGAGTATACACCTAGGAATGGAATTGCTGGGTCATACGGTAACTCAGTGTTTAACGTTTTGAGGAACTGACAAACTTTTCCAAAGTTGCTGCACAATATTTTACCTTCTCACCAAGCGATTTATGAGGGTTCCAATTTCTCCATATCCTTGTCAACACTTGCTATTGCCTTTTTTATTATACCCGTTCTAGTGGGTGTGAACTGATATTTCACTGTGGTTTTGACTTGCATTTGCCTGAAGAAGAATGCTTTTGAACGTCTTTTCATGTGTATTGGCCATTTGTGTATCTTCATTGGAAAAATACCTATTCAGATCCTTCGCCTGTTTTTTAAAAATGTGTTGCCTTTTTATTATTGAAGTGAGAGGGGAACCCACTGGAGTAGGGGAGTGACATGATCTGAGCTACATTTTACAGGCTCAGTCTGACTGCTGTGTTGAGACTAGTTTAAAGAAGAAAAAGGGCAAAAGCAGGGAGACCAGTTAGGAGGCTAGTACAATAATCCAGACACAGAACTGGCCCAGTTAGCTCTCTCAGTAAAGAATGGCACTGATAACACCAAGGTAAAGGGTTCAGATCTCTGTACCGGCCACTGCCAAAAAATAATCATCATCATCTAGACACAACAGTGTCTTGAACCACAGTGGTAGCAGTGAAGGTATGAGAAGTGTTTTAATTGTGGACACATTTTGAAACTAGAAGCAACAAAATTTCCTGATGGATTGCATATGGGATGGACAAAAATGAGAAGTCCTCAAACACTGCCTTTTAGCCTGAGAAACTGGAAAGATGGGGAATATTAAGTGCTTGATTTCGGACATGCTAAGTTTGAGATGCTTATCTAAGCAGAGAAGTCATGCTGGCAGTTGGATATACAATTCTGGGGTTTAGAGCAGTCTGGGCTGGCGATCAAAATATGTGAGTCAGCTGCCTACAAAAGCTATTTAAAGCCATGAGACAGCATAAAATCACCAAGTCAGTGAGTGCAGAGTAGGGAAGTTTTTTTCTAAACAAATGAAAAGTTGACTCCTTACTGTATGATACATACAGTTTTCTATTATGTAAATTTCAACTTAAATTTGTGGGAAGTGTATTAATCCTGTACCTACTCACTAATTAGCCCTTATAAATATGTCTTATGTGACACCTTGCACTCATCTCTTATTGACATGTTTTAGGTTAAAAACGTCCCATCTTGAAACTGCCTGTGTATCTGCCCCACAATCTCCATCTTCCTCTTTTTGATAGCTATAAGAAGAGATAAATGTTGGTGCCAGTGTTTGGTGGGGATCTTCTGTTTCAGAGCCTCTGGTTAGATGGTCTCAGGGTGACAGAAAATGTTCCTAACAGAAAATAACATGCACAGGCAAAGTGAGTAGGTTACAGAGGTGCTCTAAACCATATACTGTTAGGATGCAGGATGCAGTGCATCGGCTTAGGTACCACTGAGACTCCACAAATGCTAATGTGGCATCCTGACTAAATCAAGCACCCAAGTAAAACCTGTGTTTAAAGCTTGCTTGACTCATTTCCATCAATATGAAGGTAAATTTCAGCAAAAACATTGTCAAAGAACCACAAATGGTGAGGCTGCAGCAGTGATGGCTGGAAGCGCTGGAGAATTCTGGACTGGTCAGGGGAACAAGCATACAAGTTTGGGAGGAGGGCTGTAAGAATCATGAAACTTTACAGAATATGGTGATAAAATTTGTTTCTCAACTGCAGAGGAAATAAAAGTGTGAAGGCAGGAGCACGGCTGTATTTAATGCTTTAAGTGAAAGTATTATCCAGATAAAGTTGAACTGATGGTTTTATTATTTTATTATTCTGAGGAGAAAAAAATGAATGCACAAGTGTAATTTAATATTTAACAATTAATTTGGAAATGAGTGAAACAGCTATATTTACCCAATTTTGACAAAGACATAATTAACAGTGAAGAGATATTGTGCAAAGTCTCCTAGTGTGTTCCTCTCCAAATGAGCAACCTTAGGATTAAGAACACATCATTTACATACCTAGTATTGAAAATGAATAATTGTTTCATTACGGCCATCTATTAATTTTCCTTGGAAACTGTTTTTGCTTATAGACATTTTATAGTTACATTGGTAGTATCAAATTTCTATTTTTATTGAAAAATTAACTTTATACTTAGCTGGGCAACACAAACAAATAACTAGCTCAATTTCTTTATAATCTAGTTGCCTAAATCCACTGTTAAACATCTGATCTTCCCCAAATGTTTCCTGCCTAAGGAGGACACATTATTCCTAAAGTGGCACTTTACATTAGTGCATTCTCTTCTGCAGTGCACAAAAAGACTCTTCAGAATATGTAGAGTCCTTTTTTAAAGTATCAGGTTTTGCTCCCTTTTTCAATATGGCACATTCTTGACTGAGCTGTCCCCCTCCACCTCCAATCTTCCATCTCCACCCCAGGGAATGTCAACCACAGCAAAGTTAAGACTGGAGTCCTTCCAGGCAGCACAACACTCCCGGACTGCTTCTCTCCAACTACAATGAGTACAGACACAAAACTAGTCAAATTCACATGAAGATTATCCAGACAAAAATACTGGGAAAATAAATTTGCTGTTTTCCTTTCCAAATATAATGTATCCCAAAGTAAAATATAAACTTTTTCATTTAATAATATACATAAAAGTCTTTCTTAAAGAGTCAATGACAAGCTTTATTTAAAAAGTAATCATCCTCATCATGCATACACGAGTATAATGCATCCTAAAGCGGTCTCAGGGATCTTTCCCATCACAACTGGGGTTACACATATCACTGCTCCATCCCATTAGTATGGCTATCTGAAAGTGGATTAGAATGCATGAGCTATTACACAATAAGATTTTTGCAAATAGGGTACTTCATGAGGCAGAATGGAAAAATTAAAATGCACAGATAATATTCATTTACAGAAATAATATTTCCCAGTTGTGAACTAGTTTGTCATGCTTAGAAAATGCTAGCATTCTCACAAATATTTTGGTTCTATTAGGGTCCAAAATCTGAGTTTTGCAAACTTTGAAAAGGCACATTTTTGTGACATTGCCTAAGCTATTCCCTAAGAGCATAAAGTCTATTACTAACATAATGAAACAGTTCAATCTCTAGAAGAGTCCTCATCCAGGAGATAATCAGAGGTAAAGATTTTCTGAGGACTTTAAGAAAAATCTGTGGTTTCCCAAGTAAAGGAAAAGAATTAACTATAAAAAGTAAGACCAGCTGAGAACTCGCCCTGAGGAATGAATGAGATGGGACAAATTTGTCCCTGTCCCAAAATATTGCTATTCTTCTATAAATTGCTGGAATGTTTTTCCATTTTACCTGGAAACACTGACATCTCCGTGAATGAGTAAGTGGGTTACGAGGCATTCTCTCATAGGCATGCAGCTGCAGCACTCAGTGGAAACTGCATGATGCAGGTACCAATAAGAGTTCAAATGTTGGGAAAATAATCACAAGTCATTCATTCTTTGTGTGAAGAAGTTTGATCAGATTGCATTCTTCTCAACACCACACGTTATCAGCTGTACTTAGAAACTGATTAATGGAGTAGAAAAATGGATAACTTTGGAAAATGAAGAACCTCATGTGTGGGGCAGGGTAGGAGGAAGGCCCCCAGCTGGGAGAAGAGGGGAGCAAAACTCACATGGGTATACCTGGACCATAAGGGCATTAGGAGTCAAAGTGAGAAAGACCTTGTTCTTAGGAAAAGGGGTAGAAATTTGCACTGTCCTTCCTCCAAACTACTCGTGCTACCCTGTTTCCAAGACTAAAACTCAGACAGGTACCTTCAGTATCTTAGATCAGCTATATTAGGGTTTAGCTGCCTTGGGAGGTTTAGCCTGCCTTGGAAGGCTTGGCATGGAAACTCTGTCACCAATTCATAACATCGTTTTTGTGGAAAAAGTGTTTCAAAGTCTGCCTGTAAGCCAGTTGTTTGGAACATGATTAAAAATCCTTTTATAAGATTACTGACTCATGGGCAATTTTTGAAGTGTATTCTCAGTTTTAGAATGTAATCAATATGCTTTACATCTCCAAATATACTCTACAATATATAGGGAAAAAATGAACCTCTCTATAAGGAAAAAAATGCCCAATATTTGTGACACCAGGATAAAACTTTTGTATTGTACATTCATATATAGCAATACTTCCTAATGACATTCATGGTTTAAATGATAACTTAGGCACTGCAGAATAAGTGTCTTTCTTTTCAGATACACAGCAAACATATTAATCTATCACTTCAAATTCTCTATATACAAGTGCTTTTTATCATTCTGGAAATACAATCAAGAGGTAATGCTTTAAGGCTACATATTAAGGCTACTTTGGTTATTTGAAATGTGTATAAGCAATGAAGACACTTTTGCAAAAGGTAGTAGAAATTAATCACTATTGCTGTCTTAGAAAGAAAAGCTATTACAAGTCAACTAGACATTCAAAATGGTATCTTAAAACTAATTACTATTCTCTATTGCAAGACAGATTACTGCTCAAAACTGCCATTTCAAAACATCAAGAAATTCTCACTCTTTTGTTATCTTTTAAGCAAGGCAACATCAGAATAAAGACTTCTAAAATTAAACTTTTCTTCTCTGTTAAAAGTGAAATTTATTATAATACAATAAGTGCAAGTGTCATTATTAAAAATGTTGATTAAAATTATAAAGTATCTAAATAATTTTTCTAATATAAATATTGGAAATAACAACTTTAACAATTCTATATGTACACAGAACATTGAAAACATCAAATCATGCACAAGGTCAAAAAATAACGTTGCACATTAACCCTTTAGGTATCACTTTTATCTTCTGGTCCCAGCATCATATCAGCATATGAAGGGTGTGCTAATAACTCAGATCACAAGCCTCAAGGTTTAAGTGTTTTGAATGTAAGTCAGTTATCATAAATTAACAATGTTTAAAAACCATTGGTTGTATTCTGATCAAGTGGTTCTATTTCCCATATTTTCCTTTCTCAATAGGTTTTGGACAAAAAGATGAGCTAGAAAAACTGTGATTATAGGATCCAACATGACGTGTACTACCAATGATTCATTTAAAGGTGGCATGAAGTTATTGTTATACATATATACAGGACATGAAAGATAATAAGTACATCAACATGTAAATAAAAAAGCAGTTCATCCTTTACTCGCTTACTCAGCTCCCCTATCTTTTTAGGAAGGAGAAGCCACAGCCATGGAGAAGTACAAATCAGAACTGCTAAGGAGTGGGGGTGGGGCAGCATAGGGAAAGAGCTGGGGAAAAGAGCCAGAGGATCAAGGGAAACTACAAAGTATTACCTGTCAATTCTTCCCCCCCATCCTGCTAAAGCAGGAACTGGTTCCAGCCCAGCCTCCCTCCCCTGCATCCCAGTGGGGCTCTTAGATTATCTTGTGCCCCCAGCACTGTGAAAATAGCCACCGCCTTTCAGTAATGTGAGGGCATATCTGTTCCCTACTAAGAATGGTTTTCACAAGTTTGAGGAACAGGCCAAACACCAAAGAGGTTTGAACGTGTCCTCAATGTGAGGGCAGGTGAGGCAATTTTTTACAAATAAGCAGGTAACACCTAGAGAGGTTAAGTGGTTCAGTCACGGGGAAGACAAGGAAGCTAGGGGTGATGTTTATTCCACAAGGAAAATGCTTCCTGAACATTAATGTGCATACGATTCACTTGAGATCTCATTAAAAATGCACTGGGTTTGGAGTGGGGCTTCAGAGTCTGCATTTCTAATAAGCCCCAGGAGATGTTGATGCTCTTGGTCAGTGAATCATACTTTGAGAAGCAAGGGTCTACAACACACAGAGGGAGCCGCCTCTGTCTTTCTGGGCCTTAAGAGTCCTGCCCCAGGGTAATCTGTCTACCCAAGTACATCCCCAGGCAAAAGGCTTAGATGCACTGCATAAGTGAGCAGTTGTCTACAAGACTACATCAATATATTTTCGGAGAGCACCATGACTATATGAACAGCCAAACAAGTAACATAATTTAACTTAAGAAAAAGAAGATGTCTACTTGCTGGGAATAAAACTAATCTTTTACTCATGAAGTCTTCCTTAAAGTGAACATGATATATAGATATAAAAAAGACAGCATATTCAATTCCATAGTAAAATGCCACATGTGTGCACATAATACATACAGTATGAATTCTAAGAGATTCGATGCATTCTATCAGAATAAAGTGCTACCACTGCTCCCAGCTAAAATCATCTCCTCTTCCAAATACAAGGAAAAAACCTTGAATTGTAAGGAAAATGACTGCATTGCCTGCCAGCACAAGGCCACAGGCTCCCCATTTGATCTGAAACACAAAAAAAGGATTAAATCCTTACTTTCTTCATATTGTACTCTTTGCACACATCTGTTATTTTCTGCATTAGAAACTTCCAACAAAATATTACACAAAATTACTAAAAGGCTTAATAATATAACAGGCGGGAGACAGTGAACTATTTGGTAATTAGTCTAATTACTTCTGTGATGCTTGTTAATTAAGTCTTGTACTAGCCTTAACGTTTTCAGTATTAGACATGTTTCTCTACTTGTTTTCAGTTGACAATAATTGCCTTAAGTAAAATACATGTAGCGGGATGATGAACAGTCCAATTACAATATTGGGTACTGAAAGATCTGCACGCCTCGATGTCTTTCATGGAAAATAGGAACTGGAGAGTTACGGGTTTGTTTGTTTCTTTTCTAGGCAAGAAAAGACTTTAAATAATAATCTGCATACGAATGAAAGCAGCTTTCCAGTTTGGCGGAAGGTTTTACAGAAGCACAGTTGGGGGTGAGAGCACCCTCTAGTGGCCATTTTTGTTTTAATTTAACCCATGGAAACATCTATAAAAGCTTCTTCACAAAACATGATGGTAGTTATTGAAAGGGAAAATTTAAATATTTACAGCACAACTTAAGAAGTGCTATGTAAGGCACATGAATAAGGTTATAATAATCTTGCATTCAAAAACCTTCAATGCTGCTTTATTATCTCAAACTGGCATGGCATTTAAGACCTTGCTTTATCAGGCTTCACAATCTTGTTAAACTTAATCTCAATTACCCTCTTTTTGCTCCATCATATTGGACAATTCCTTATTCCACATACTGCATTATTATACTTGGGTGCCATTCCATACTTTAATCCAAATACTACTTATCCTTAGAGGCCCATATCAAATACCAGTTGAAATCTCTCTCTTCTTGGTGCTCCAATGGCTTTCTGATCATGTTTCAATTATCACACATAATACATTTATAGTATACTTACCCATCAGGCTAGTTTCTATATTCTTTATGAGCGGAGATAGTATCTGGCTCTTATTCCTGGTATTTTACAAATAGCAGATGTTCCAAAGATATCTATTGAATAAATAAGATTCATGCCTATCTGATATTCAATGCACCAAATAAGAGTTTCAGGAAATTGAAACAGAATGCAGTTGGGGGAATAAAAGCAAATAGCAGGAAAGACAGTGAACAACAAAGAATTGAATAAATTATATCTACAATGTATGTTTTGGAGACAAAAAGAAAATATATTGGATGTGAAGATGTCATCTTATTCACTGTATCTTCTAGTAGCTACACAGTTGTCCCTCAATATATGCTTTTTGTACTGAGTTGAGAATTGAGTCCATGATCCCATTTGCAGGAGAAGAATTTGAAATGATCTTCATTTTGTAACTAGAAAAGTATTGCTAGTAAAGTCTCTGTGGATTGCCATAAGATTTAAGAGGTAGAGATTTAAGAACAATTTCAGAGAACAGCCTAAAGTAGAAAAAGCAAGAAATCACATCGTCTGGCTAAAAGTTGTTAAGAGAAACAGAGCATTCCGAAAACATGGTCAAATACTGATAGGTAGACCTAAAGTGGAGGAAGAGAGACAATAAAAATACATCTGGCTTTGAGTATAAGTCTAAGCAATGAAAATGAAATTAAGGTCCCAGACACAGGCCTTTTAAGTAAACTCAGCAACAGTTGAGCAAAACAATACAAAACAAAACTTACCACAGCCACACGAGCAAGAATAACAGGAAATCCAAAGGCAGAAACAACAATTCCAGTAGTGAAGAAATATGCCAGTTCCCGACAGGCACTACTGGTTGCATCAGAGTCATAAGCGACTCTTTTGGCAATGAAATGGGGAATGGGGGAGATGGCGTGGAAAATCAGGACGAACAAGGGCCAGTAAACGCTGTCAGTTGGGCCCAGTCAAAACCCAAAAAGAAAAGTCACAGTTACATTTTGAATAAAAGACATACTACTGTTTCAAAAGCATTGTTAGCTAAAATGTCTAGGTCAAAATCAATCGATTAATTTAATCAATTGTGAATATTAGAACATAAAATGATTTCTACCAGGAATAGATAAGTAGTGATAATTATAAACTACTAGATCATTAATATGTGTAGGTAGCTCACATTATATTAAGAAACAACCACATATATAATCTAGAAACTTTATCATTTTCTGTATTACTGAGCTGCAACTTCTTTAAAGACAGAATCTTAACATAGTCACCTCTGCTTTCCCTACAAAACATAGAACAGTAGCTTTATTGAATAATTCAACAAAGATCTTAGGTGCATGCATGCCTGAAAGCTTTCAATGGCTTAGAATAAAACCCAAATTCCTTGCCCTGGCCTACAAAGCCAAATATGATCTGGCATTATCTACTTCTTCCATTCATTTTTGTACCATCTGCCCTTCATTTGCTTAATCTTTAGAAACACCAGCCATCTTTCTGTTCCCTGAACACTCTGAGCTCATACCTATCTTGAGGCCTTTGCACTAGCTGTGCCCTCTGCTTGGAATGCTCTTCCCCTGATCTTCTCATTGGCTGGCTCTTTCATATCATGAATCTAAACTGATAGAGATCTCCTAAAGGTGGCATTCCCTGACCATCTATTCTAAAGTACCCTAGGTCACCCTGGAGCATATCACTCTCTTTTAACTTTCCGCACAGCACTTATTCCCATCTGATATTTTCTTGCTTATTGAGAACAGGGATCTGATTTGTCTTGGTCAATTTCCATTTATCTCCAGGGCCTAAAATAAGGGGCACCATTTATACTTGTGGAATGAACGAAATAATAAGTGGATTTTAAGTATGGGAGGCATGAAAATAAATGTCACTAGTAAAAACTTTAGATGCACTCAAATCTTTATACTAAAAGATCACAATAACACTGTAATGCAAAAACAAGGCATTTTTCTTCCCAAATTTCAGTGTTTTGCATTACTAAAAAATTGCCATCTTGTTTCTAATTGTGTTTTCTCTATAAGTACTTCAAAAATAATCATCTTCTTCTTCATCAGTTAGACATTTATTATGTTTCATTTCTTAAGAAAAAAAGCATACTCGCTACTCATTTTTATATACACACACCACAGTAATACATATCATTATAGAAGTCTGATAACACAGGTCCACCCAGACCGGCAGCACCTACAAGCATGAATTGGGGTGAAGCCAAACTAACAAAAGCTCCCCATTTCAGCCACAGATCTAGGTAACCAAAAAGCAAGAAGAGAAAGCGGCCTTCATCAAGAGAACTCAGGAGAGAAACATTGAGTTTGGACTCCTAATTGTAAACTAGAGAAATTATAGTATGCTTCAAAGAGGCCCTTAGAGATTCTCTAGTTTAAAGCCCTTATTTCCTCATTATAATGAGGAAATGAGATACAGAGAGGAGAAGAGTTCTGTCTGAAATAGACCCAGCTGTCACCTGACATGCCCACAGCTAAAGGCTCTTAACTCTTCTGAAATACACTCTCAACTTTCTGAAAAACAATCTAAGAGACTCTATGTTTCCATTCCTAGTAAGCCACCAACATCCAACTAAAAGAACTGCTCAAGTAGAAGCTACCTGATTTATATACAAAATTTAAATATTAAATATATACTATTCAGTAAACACACAGGCCAGGAGTTGGCAAACTTCTTCTGTAAAGGGCCAAAAGAGTAAATATTTAGGCTTTGCAAGCCAAATATTTAATATTTTCTCTAAAGAGTAAATATTTAGGCTTTGCAAGCCATAAGGTCTCTGTCTCAACTACTCAACTCTGCTACCGTATTGCCAGAGATAATTCTTAAACAAATGAGCATGGCTGAATTCCAATAAAACTTTAATTACAAAAACAGACAGCAGGCCAGTGTGCTGACTTCTGATATAGTTGATCATCCTGTGTCACTATAATTAAGACATAAAAATAATTTCTTTTAGTAGCAGTAATGGGTCATTCTCTTACCTTACAGAGTCACAGTGTATTACAGAGAATTAAAACACCTGGACTTAGAGTTGGTTGTGGAATAATGGGAAAACCTTTGGTCCAAAGAGTCAGAACACAAGTTCCACTTCTGTCTCTGCCACTTATTGCTGTGCAATCTGGGAAAGTCTTTAACTACTCTGGGCTTTGGTTTTTCAGCTAGAAATGAGGATAACTTAAATCTCTAAAACCAGAATAAAGTAATAACTGTGAAAGCTCTGGACAAACATAAGTTATTGTTTATATTTGGATCCCTCTTGCATTTAAACAATTTCTGTGATAGCTGGCCAGGACTAGGGTGATAGATTTGAACTCATCAATGTCATAACAACTAGCTCCAGATGGTCTCAGTTAATCACATCATCTTCTATCCAGTTGAATTCTCTGTGCTTGTTGAACCCTGACATCAATTAACAAAACCTGTTCATCCCACCTCCTAGATCACTCTCTCATTTTCTTTCCATTCCCATTGCCATGGCCCTAAATTTTGCTTGACTTATGATAACAGTTCTTTACTATTCTCCCTGACTGCAGCCTCAGCACTTTCCTATCTAGTCTCACATTTGGCCAGAGTGACTTTTTAACATAACCTCCTCCCTCCAAACCCATTCTCAAGATATTTTCCCAGCTCCTATGGCATAAAGTATATAAAATCTAACCTCCTCTGCATGGCATACAGAGCCCTACAGTGCTGACTTCATTCTTGACCAAGCCTTCTTTTGCCACCCCATACTACAGTTTATGCTCTACCATAATGAACCACATGTGGTTTCTTGGACAGTCTATATGCTTTCTTGTCTCTGGACCTTAGCATATGGCTTTCCTACTACCTAAAGCCCTCCTTTCCCAAAGATGTGTATGACCTACGTGTTTATTTTCTTGACGTTTCTGCTCACACATCACCCCCTCAGAGAGACTTTCTCTGGCCATCTGCTCCCCAGCCTCTGTGCCCTTTATTCTTCATAACACTCCTACCTCTGACAGAATACACATTTTTTAATCTGCTTATTGTCCATCACCCTCACTGAAAAGAGAGCAGGACCTTTGTTTTCTTATTTCTTAATCCCCATTTCCCAGGACAGTGGCTGGCACATGGCAATCATGCAACCAACAATTTTTGAATGAAGAAATTTGTTGAACGTTCCTTCTGCTTGGAATGCCCTCCCCTGACTCATCAGCCTGAGAAATTCTTATTTATCCACCAAGTCTCAGCTCAGATATGACCTCTGCTGTGCCGCTCCCCCGACTGTCCCAAGGAAACTCAGATGTACTTTCTCTAAGCTCCCGCTGTACTCTGCACACATATCCAGCACAGCTGTCGTTTTACTGACTGGATCGCCTGCCTGTCTCTCACACACAACTAGAACTGTGACTCCTTGAGGACAGGGCTGTGACTCTTCATTCTCATATCCCCAGCCGATCTAGAGTAGGTGTTTAACAAATGTTTATTAAATTAATACATCAATTTTAAAAAGAGCTTTTCTCTGCACTAATATACCTGGACCCATAAAGGGACTGGGTTCATAAGCTGGGCTTCACTAACTCACTTTTTAGAGCTTGGTGCTAAATTGACCAAGTTGTCTATCATCCATACTAACAGTGACCAAGACATAAAAAGAATAATTCTTTTTGAAATGGTAACTTACCCATAATCTTCCAAGGCACATCCCAGCATAAGAAAAGTCAGCCCAATAGCACCACTGAAAGATAATGCCACAAGAGCTGTGAAAAATAAAAGCAAGAGTTAAAAATCCCAGATCAGTGGTTGCCAGGGCCTAGAGGGTTTGGGGAGGGTGGAAGGGAGAGCAGGAATAGGGAGTGACTACTAATGGGTACAGAGTTTCTTTTGGGAGTGACAGAATGTTCTGGAATTAATAGTGACAGTTGTAAAACGTTGTGAATATACTAAAAATCATGGAATTTTACATTTTAAAAAGGTTAACTTTATGGTATGTGAGTTATATCTCAATAAAATTTTTTTACTTAAGGAAAAGGTCCCAAATTTTAGCAAATGTAGCAATTTACTTATTTCATTAATTGATGTTACTTTGACTAGCAAATGACTGCTGTTATGGACTGCATGTTTGTGTCCCCTCCAAATTCTTATGCAGAAGGTAGTTAGGTTTAGATGAGGTCATGAGGGTGGGGTCTCTATGATGGGATCTCTCTCTCTCTCTGGTTCTCTCTCTCTCTCTCTCTCTCTCTCTCTCTCTCTCTCTCTGGTTCTCTCTCTCTCTCTCTCTCTCTCTCTCTCTCTCTCTCTCTGGTTCTCTCTCTCTCTCTCTCTCTCTCTCTCTCTCTCTCTCTCTGGTTCTCTCTCTCTCTCTCTCTCTCTCTCTCTCTCTCTCTCTCTGGTTCTCTCTCTCTCTCTCTCTCTCTCTCTCTCTCTCTCTCTCTGGTTCTCTCTCTCTCTCTCTCTCTCTCTCTCTCTCTCTCTCTCTCTCTCTCCTTTCCACAATGTGAGATACAAAGAGAAGACAGCCATCTGCAAACCAGAAGTGGGCCTTCACCAGGCACAGGATCTGTCTGCACCTTGATCTTAGACTTCCCAGCCTCCAAAACTGAGAAATAAACATCTGTAGATTAAGCCACCCAGTCTACGGTATATTTGTTAGTAGCCCAAACTGATTAAGACAAATGCCTACGTATGCAACTTCAAAATCATGCGGTGGAGAAAGGTGTCAAGCAATTCCAGTACCTAACCCCTATGCAACATATGAATTCCCTCTATACTTGTGACAAGAGGGCAGCCAACTCGTCTGCACAACTCCAGTGAAGGGAAACTCGCTACCACCCGAGGCAAGTCATTTTATTCTGACAGTTTCTAAATGTCGAAAGCCCTCCTTCCTTAAATTATATCCCAGACTGCCTCCTTACAATAAATATCTTTGATCATTTTGCTTTCCCAAACCACAGTACTTCAAGTCTTTGAATCCTGCTTTTATGTCTTCATAGAAAACAATTCCCAACTACTACCCACTGAATAAAATATTTTTTCCCTGCATCTGTTAGACACTAATCTCTGAGGGACGTATTAGTCCTTGTCATGCTTCTAAGAGAAAGAATGTCACTTGAGCTGTGAGTCACAAACATGGGTTCAAACCTTAACTCTGCCACCAACTGCTAGAGTGACCTTGAGTAGAAGCCAAAACTCTTTGAACCTGATTTCTCACCTGAAAAATGGGAATAAGAGTGCCACCTTACTGAGCTTATGGAAATTAAATGAGATAGTCTATGTAAAGTGCTTGGCAAAAGGATGCTCAATAAATAAATGTTGACTGATACAGGTATCTTCTTATTTTAGCAATGTTCTTGGATAAAGGAATAAATCAAAACATAGGACACTGTTTATCCAAATTCTCTTCTGAAAAAAAAAAAATCCACAATGCAATACTCACAATTAGTCATTGATTAAACTAATGAACATTTTTGATTGCTTCCTTTTACTTTAAGAGGAGATTTAGGAAGACTTTTATTGGAAGATGCCGAGGAGCTTTTGTAAAAAACATCTGGAAGTACACAGATGTTAGGGGACAAAGAAGCACTGCCAATTTTAAACTATATCTTTTTCCACTTAGTACATGCCAGTTTTTAATGGAAAATGTCCACGTGTTGAGGGAAAGCAATTTTTCATATTGTTTCATTACAGATGACCCTGTTGTAGTTGGCTTTGCCCCTTTCCTTTGTGCCTGGCCACCTTCAGTGCTCCTTCTCCATGAGACCTGTCAAAGCTAGGAATCGTAGCCCCTTTCTTTCTGTTCCAACACCAATCTCTCAAGGTTCACAACTGTATTTCAGCTTGATTCTTTTGGGCCCTTTTCTTCGGCTTTTGTAAGGAATCTTCTGCCATCTGTATTAGTTTCCTAGAGCTGCCATTACAAAACTGGGAGTTGACCAAGAATTCTTTTCACTCCACACACTCTTGCTGAGAAACTGCGTTCAACCCAAAGCTCCCTGTACCACAAGGGCCCAGCCATATCTGAAGCTCCAGCCCAGAGTAGGTCCTAAGACCCAGGCCTGTAGGTACCTCCACCTCCAGTCTGGATTTCTCTGCCTGGATAGCCAAACAGGACCTCAAACTCAATATGTGTAAAACTGAACCCCCATACCCTCCTCCTCCAAAATACACATCCTTATCTTCCCTGTGACGGTCCTGTCTTGGAGGACTGACACCATGTTCGTCATGGCACTCTACCTTCAAGCAAATCAACAATCAAAGTGACAATCTCCCAGACCTTACTCAAACCCACCCTCTTCTCTTGAACTCTCTGCTACTGCCCTAGTGGCAGCCTTTCTTTGTCACCTCTTGCCTGACTCCTACTGTGACTCTTCCAGTCCATCCTCCACATAGCAGACAGTGATCTTTCAAATATACGCAGCCAGTGTCACCACTTTGCAGTTGCTTCCCCAGCCTACAAGTTGTTCTGGCACTCGAGGTTCACCATGATCTGACCCCTAACTGGTTTTCCAGCTTCAACTCTCACCACTCTCCCCCTAAGTTCCAGTCTTACTAACATAGCTTAAGTTTCTGAAGAGAACAAGGCGTGTTCTTTCATGCCCCCGGCCCCATGTTGTCTTCTCCCTCCACCTGGAATATACTCTGCCCTCAACCCATCCCTTGCCAGGTGAAGCCTTATCCATCAGTTCACACATTGCCTTTTCGTTAAAACAGTCCTCTTCTTCCTCCCTGGAGCAGAGTTAAGTAATCTCATCTGTACTAATTTCCTAGGGCTGCCCTTACAAAATACCACAAACTGGGTGGCTCTGAACAACAGGAACTTATTCGCTCACAGTTCTGGAGACTAGACTTATGAAATCAGGGTGTCAGCAGGACCATGCTCTCTCTGAAGGCTGTAGGGAACAATCCTTCCTTGCCTTTTGCTAACACATGGCAGTTGCCGGCAATCTTTGATGCTCCTTGGCTTGCAGCTGCATCACTCCAACTTCTGCCCCTGGCTTCCCATGGTACTCTCCCGTGTACGTATGTCCAAATTTCTCTTTTTATAGGAATACCAATCACTGGATTAAGGCCTTCCCTCAGCCAGTATCATCTTAATTTGATTGCATCCACAAAGACCCTATTTCCAAATAAGGTCACGTTCACAGGTACTAGGGAGTTAGAACTTCAACCTTTCTTTTGGGGAGACACGATTCAATCCACCATACCACCTCTGTGCTCCCACTGCATCTGAGCACACCTTACATACTTACACAGTAATATAATTATTTCCAGCTCTGTCACCCAACAATAACTTCTCACTTATCTTTTTATCCCAAGTTTCTGACAAACAGCAGGTCCTCAATAAATGGTGAATTGAATTATCTGCAAAATGCTTCCTTCCTTTGGTCCTTTTCCGTTTCATTGCCTATCTTCTTTTCTACTACATCAAAATTTCTAACACATTCACACATAAACATTATTATCTGGTAGTTTCTGGTCATGAATAAACACTGTGCAGTACTGAGATACTACTTGTCATCTGTTTTCTGCAGTGGCTTCAAATGGATATATTAAACACTGGACATTGTCCAAGTAAACCATGTTTACTAAACTGATACTGAACATAAAAGTTGGCCAGAAATAATGATAAAATGTGTCTGCTACTAACGGCTCCCACAGATAAATTCATAGTGAACACACACGCACACACACATATATATTGTATACATGTTTATAGCAGATGTTGATTACCGGGGAGGGAAGATCTTTGGGTACAAATTTCAAGGAAGTAGGAACTCCAACATAGAAAAGTTATGCTACTCTGTTCAAAAGATTAGAAATAAAATGGTTTCCTACCAAAATAACAGGAAGCTTTCCAATAACCTCTTCCTCCGCTTCCATTTCTCGTTTCTCTAAAGGCATACAGATCAATGAAGCGGTGTTCTTGATAACCCCTTTTCATCAGCTGCCCCCATTCAAAATCACATACTGCACAAACACTACTTTCCTGTCTGTCCGTAGGTGTATAGAGATAACACCGAAGAAAGTGTGGTAGAATTAGTGGTCAAATTCCACCTAATCTAGTCTCCACGATTTCAAGAAATACAGCATTCCTGGGTGCTTTCCATTGACACCGGCCCGCAGTCAACTCTGCCCAGTTGCAAAAATTAAGAACAAGGGGATTAAGTTTCCCAATGCCGAGAACACTGGAGACAAAGGCTACTTGGTTAGGAATGGGAAGCTGCGAGGGGCAGGAAACGGGAGGAAAGGCGTTAGGGTGGACAAGTCAGGAAGCGGACAGAACTGAGGAGGAGCCTCTGAGGTGATGCTCCGGGGCCAGCCCAGGCCTCCCAGGGACGCCCCGCTCCCGGGCGACAGCTCCGCCTGGGGGGTCTGGAAGACGCCAGGGGACAGCGTCAAGACCAATGGCCTTGCAAAAAAGGGCTGAGGTTCCCCTGAAATGTCCCTCCACCTGCACCCCGAGGCTCGAGTGCAGCGGACGAGCACCTCCCCACCGAAGGAAGCCGCTCCCCGCCAGCGCGCTGAAGGCGCAGCTCCAGGCTTAGCCCGGAGCGGAGGTGACAACTCCATCGCACGACCAGCGGGCCAGGGGCCGCGGATGTACCTTTAACGCCCGCCATCTCTCCCGAGCTGCGACCGCTGCTGCTTCCGACTTCCTGCCACGGCCACCGCCCGGGCCCCAGCCCCGGCCAGGCCTGGTCCCGCCCCTCAGATCCCGAGCCCGCCCCCGCAACGCATAGCCCCGCCCCGCCGGCCCATAACCCCGCCCCCAGCTCTCAGAGCCCCGCCCTGCCGGCCCATAACTCCCATTGCCCCAGTATTCAGAGCCCCGCCCCTGCTGGTCCCGAACCCTCTCGCGTCACACAAGCTACGCCCCTGCCAGTCCATAACTTCGTCCCGGCTTCCAGGGTCCCGCTCCTATTGTTCCTGATCCTTGTCAATCAGAGCCCCGCCCATGCTGGTCCCGATCCACACTCCGGGCCCCGCACTCAGGGCCCCGCCCCCGTTGGTCCAGGACTCGCCCCCAGCACGCGAGTCCAGCTCCCCTCCCTGAGATCCCGGCCCGCACACCCAAGCTCCTGCAGAGTAACCTTGGCCCTCCGTCCCCAGCCCTCTTCCTAGATCCTGAGCCCTCCCCGTAATCCTGGAACCCACCCCACGCTCCACCCTTCCATCTGTGTGCTCGCTCCAGCCTCGGGCCGAGACACTCCTTCAGACCACTGAAGATGCGGAGTGTGCAGAGCAGATACACCGCACAACGGGTCCTGCCTACCAGGAAACCTGCCTGAGAGTGGAGACGGAGGTGGGGAGAGGGAAGACGGGGACGGAGGGTGAAAGTTACAATCGGTGGGGGAGGAAGGGACACCCACTTACTAACCAGCATTATGTTCCCATGTGTGTGCATTTGTATGTGTATGTGCATGTCTGTGTTCACGTGGCTGTGGAGGAGGCGGGGGAATGGGGGCACCAGAAAACAGGTCCCCAGGAGACATCCTTCGTTAAGCACTTGACATTTGCATGGGTTTAGTTACCACTTTTCGAAAACTATTAGGTTTTTTTCTTTACTCCCTGGTTTATTTGTAGAGATAAAGACCATGTAAGCTTCTTTTGTGTCCGAAGTTTTCATGAACTTTTAAATAAATAGCTATTATTTTTGTACCTTGGGGCCTCAAAGTTTGCAGGTAACCAAGGCAAATCTTTACATCTCCAAGAGCCTTTTCATACTTATTTTCTTCATAGAAATGGAGAGTTTTGTCACGATGAGAGCAATCTGGAAGAGACCTTAGAAGCCATCTGGTCCAAGTGCTTTATCTTACTTTTAGAGAAAGAGGTCCAGAAAGGAACAACTCTTTGGAGGAGGTTGGAGTATGGGCCACTTTCCCTTCTACTGCATGGTGCTGCCTCTCTTCTTTTGCTTTTTCTCAGTTTTCAACAGGAATGTAAGAGAGAGGGGTCTGTGGGGACCAAGGTTCCCTCGACTACCTGAGAAGTACAAATTTTCACCAGCACTACCACTTTTCAGGGTCCTCACTCAGTTTGCTTTTTCAAAATTGCACACTGAACGTGTTATCGTCTCAATAAATTTCTACTTATCCGTCTACTATTTTTTTAGCTCCTCTCATTTCTCCTCATAGATGGATAGCACACTTATTGAAAACATAGTGTTGGCTAATACCTGCCTCACTGCAGATGCTTGGAGATCCAGTCCTACACTGCACTCTTTACTTTGTAGCCTTCAATCTATTTGAGATCCCTGAGAGTGTATGCTACTTTGACTTAAAGATTATTTTGAGCTGAAGGCAGTTGAAAAGAAGCAAATACAAGAAAAGCTCTCTGCCCTCCCACTCGTTGCCTAAAAGCAGGACATAAATTTACAAAGATGTACATCCCGCCCACTCTACCAAGAAGGGCAAAGGTTAATAATCACCAGAGACAACTTTAGACCCTTATCAGCCTGGAGACAGCACCAGAGTAATCTACATAGCAAACTTAACTATTTAGCCTTTATCTGCCATTAGTTTTACATATATTTATATGTCTTCCCACAATTTGCTGCTCCTAGAGACTCAAGGTCCTTTCCTCTGTCTTGTCATTTCTTTAATAATGTAGTGTTCCTTTGCTATGATGCTACATAAGCCCAAATTCCAACCAAACCTTTGAGTTACTCATCTCTTGGGATTCCCATGTGTTACATAGATAGATGCACAAGGCACATGTTGATAAACTTGTCTGTTCTCTCTTGTTAATCTGTCTTTTGCCAGTCTAATTAACAGGGCCCCAGCTAAAGAAACTGAAATGGGTAGAGGAAGAAATTTTTCCTCCCCTACAAGAGTTGTTTCCCTATTTTGAGTATCATATTTTTTTCTAATACCTGTAAAAGCACTGAGGGGAAACCACACATCAGCCAAACTCTGGAAGACTGTGGTTTTTAGCTCCCTTAGTGTAGTGCTGAACTACTGTCATGAGGAAGTAAGACTTCTTTTCACCTTAATTGATGAGGATATTCTATGAAGTTAAATTCCCCCATTTCTCCTCTCATTCTCAACCACACAGTGTGTCTCCAAAAAGCCTAAATGGGTTTTCTGGGGCCTTGCATGTCAGCCTGATGCCAGTTCCACAGAAGACAAATGCTTTTGGAGAAAGCTGACACCACAGCAGAAGCAGAGCTTGGTTAAGTTTTCTGCTCACACCAGCTGTCCTTTCCAGTTTACCAAACACTTTAAAGAGAAAGTTAGCCATCTTGTCATAGGCTTTAACAGTTTGAAAAAATTTGCTTTCTTTTTTGCCAGTTGTTGCACTGAAAAAGTTGTTCTTCCCCTTACTCATTCCACATTTCCTTAAGAATAAAAAAGCAACCAAAACCAAAAGTAAAACCTTGGAAGCTGAACCCCTATCCCTAACTTGCCATGAGTTTGTTACTTAGATGTATAAGATCTGTGACCTCTGTCATGCTGCCTAGGACCACAGTGGACTTTTTAGGATGAATTTTAATAATCTCTCCTTGCATTCAATTTCCCAAACTATGAGCTAGGTTTTATTGTTTCCACTTTATAGATGGGAAAACTAGGTCTCAGATAGTAACTAGTGAATAGGGAAGCTGAGATCAAGCCCCAAACTGTTCAACTGTAAAGTTAGATGGTCAGCACGTGTATTATTCCCCACAGTGGGTCTTATGCACCAAGAAGGCAGGAATTGTTGCAGTAATTAGAAATAACAGTAAACCTGTAGGTCTAACAGGGCATCAAATCCATTCATTCATTCAATTTTCCCCTGCATATCTACAGGTTGAGAGTCCCTTATCTGGAATGCTTGGGACCAGAAGTGTTTCAGATTTCAGATTTTTTCACACTTAGAAATATTTGCATATACATAATAAGATATCTTGGGAATGGGATCCAAGTCTAAACATGAAATTCATCTATGCTTCATATACACCTTATGCACATAGACTGAAGGTAATTTTATATAATATTTTCAATAATTTTGTGCATGAAACATATGACCTATCATATGAGGTCAAGTGTGGAATTTTCCACTTATGGCATCATGTCTGTGCTCAAAAGTTTCAGATTTTGGAGCATTTTGGATTTTTAGATTAGGGATGCTCAAACTGCATTAGTATCTTGCATATAGTATACACAAAATATTGGTTGAATTAACAAATATTAATGTTTACCACATGTAGTATCATCTGTCCCTATCCTACAGAAAAGAGCTAGCCTCAAACCCCAGCTTGGGTAAACTTCTCCATGCTTCAGTTTTCTGAGGTAGGATTTACTATATATAATATATAGGATTTACTATACATATAATAGTTCCTAGGGCAATGCATGCAGGGTAGATGCCAGGGTGTCAGATATACACGGGGCAGGCTCTCAAGTCAGTGGGTAAGTTAAATGCAAGTATGATACAAAACTAATTAAATCAGCAAATGTTGATTTTCCTTCCTAACTCTCAACCACAACTTCTTTTTACACAGCCATTCCCTTTACAGACCCTACAGTGTAAGTCTCTTTGTCATTTTATGCAGACAGATCTCTGTCAGTCCAAGGAGTTAGGAATGAGGGCCAAGGCACACTTTACTTTGGGATGCCTCTTCCTACTCATGTTTTCCACTCCCCACAACCTGAGGTTTTAATGTAATTCCAGCCCCAATACTCACCTGCAGTGATACACTTTGTCTTATTTACTATCAGTAACAATAACAATACTTACTCTTTAGTGACTATCCACTTGATAAGAGTTTACGTACATAATCCCTAATTCCTCCTTTGCAGGTTTGTTAGAATTCTGTTTTACAAGTGATAAAATTAAGATTATTAATAGATAATTGTAAGTGGAAAAAATTGGGATTCAAACCCAGTCTTTTGGCTTCAAACCAACATGTACCACTATGCCCAAACACCATGATTTATCTTTAGAAACAATCAAAACGTGTTTACTTCACCTAAATTCTCTGATAGGTGTTTCAAGCAGGGAAATTGACCTATTGCTGTGATAACTGTTTTTGGAATTCAACCTTTTTCTTGTTTTTTGTTTTTGCTTTTTGTTTTTTTCAGTGGGTGGGGTGCACCATTCTTGGAGGTGCTGCAATACCAGGTTGATTCATTAACTAGACAGAGCAAGCGCCTATTCCATCTCCTTGCTCCAAAAATCCATTAATATATTGTCCTTGGCTGGAGGACATATCAGACATTAAACTGATGAAAACAGATAACTTCACCTGACGTTAGCCAAAAGACCAAGAAGTGATTGGCATTCAACTTTTGTGTTCATTCCCTACACAAGGGTGTTTTATTAGTGGCATTAGAATCTAACTTGAGCATTCTTCCAGATGTAGAGTACAGTGCTGTTTCAAAAGATTTTGATTTGCAGCATTTGTTTCCAAATGAACATGCTGCTTCCATCCTTGAAGGACTAAATTGTCTGGGACTTTGTTTCTATGACAAAGTCTCAGACTTCCAGGATCAATCTCTTTGCCTCAGCATACAAATTCACTTCTGAAGATCCATTAATATTCTAGCTAGGAACCAGGATTTCTATGCTGATTCTTTTAGAAACATAATATTCATGTAGCATAATCAAAAGTGTATATGTGTCTGAGTATACGCACGTGTGTATCAGCACAGGGACGGTTGAAGTATAAATCCAGAAATCCTGCCGGATTATATTTTGATGCAAATGTATTATATGTTCTTCATATTCTTTCTCCATAACTTTCTTTAAAAATAAACCCTGTCAGCAGGTGATGTAATTCTAGCGTGCCACTGTATTCCTACAAGTGCAAAAATAACTTAGGTTTCTACAAATATTTTTGAGCCTTTTAATATACATTACAAATATTTTAGACCAATCACATTTTGTTGTGTGTAACATATTTACAAAACAAAAAATATATTACAATACTTATGAATGGAACAGTGAATCTGATCAACAACAAGCTCTGTCACAACCAGATATTTAAAAGGAATGTGAAAACCTGTTGGTCTGCAGATGTTAAGAGTTTTAAGACAAATAGGGGTCCAGAATGATAATGTGTCAGGAAAAGAGATATGGGGGGGAATCCCCAAATTTAAGTAAGATTCTTTCTCATTACTAATTATATACTGCTTAATGATCTTTTAAACTGATGTATTATCCAAACATGATACAAAGTTAATATAGTTCTATCATTTCAAAATGTACATGACATCCACATACTATCTTTTTAATTATTATCGTTATATACTGTAGTTCACACAATATCTACAGATGTGAATGAGAAAAAAAATAGGTCACAGCAACATGTCTCACATTCCAATTTTAAATAAGACAAGCACATACTGGATCAAACATTTTATAATACGTTAATAAATAACACCTAGTTTGTTATGGTTACCTTGAACAGTTCACGGTTGTATATTTAAAAAGAGAACATTTTCCGTGAGTTTCGCATTGTCAGTAAAAGGTAAAATAAATACGGACACTCTATAAGAAAAAGAAAAAAAAAAAAGACAGAGAGAGAGATCTGTATAGAACCTAAAGTATTTTGGACATGCTGCTTTTCCAGTATAGTTTGCTAACAAGAAAATTAAAACAGAAACAAAAAATGATTGTCTTTTAAAAACAATTTTTGAAAGCTTTCACAATATTGAGCATGAAGCTTTTAAGATTAGCATGAAAATCGTTTTGCCCATCTGCTTTGTATATATAGGATGTACATTGCGTATGTGCACACCAAAAGAGATCTACTAAAGTCTCAGGATAGCAAACTGCTTTCCCCTCCAAATGAAACCCAGCCAAAATACTGTACTGAAATCTAATCAGTTTGAGATCTGGAAATGTTTCATTCTTGCTTTGCTTTCACAAATGTCCCTGTGTAATTGTTGTTCCTGTAGACCCCCAACTACTTTTAATACAATAAACCCCCCTGTAATGATCCAAGGGGTCCAGATTTGCTGGGTGGGGAGAGGGGACCTGGTTCCTCAAAGCAAATACTGACGAGCCATCTGACTGGGTCTGAAGGTCAGCACAGGTCTCCCACTGCAACAGTGCCTTTCTGACTACTAGTCAGCATTGTCTTCTATTTTCTTGCCACAACCACTCACAAACCTAGAGAAAACTTGAGTCCACACTTGATATCAGTCCTGATAAATTGTGAATGCTAAGGGTATTTTCTTGGCTAAACAAAAAGAAGAGCATTAAGCCTTATGGCAAAGTTGGAAGTTTCTCTCAAATCAGGTTTGAAGTTGTTATTATGGTATTAAGACTTTCTCTTTAATCAACCACAGTTTTCTAAAGGGAAGGGAAGGAAGCAGGCCAACATCGTGACCTGGAAGAAAGATTTCTACATTTTCAGAGTTCCTGTTTTCTTTAGTCAGTATTTCCACTAATTTTTAGCTTATCCAGGAAAGGTTGTTGGTAATCACTGGATTGTGGTATAATCATGTCCCACAATTCAAGTTCTTTTGTTAGTCCTCTTGACCGACACATATGGTACTATGCTAAAGACCACAGTAAATTTCTATTTAAAAAAAAAACAAAAACGTGGTGGTTGTGTTCCTGGAGTCTGTATAAAGACATTGATCAAATAATATCTTTCCAAGAAAACCTAAAAGTGATTATTTAAAACCATTTTGTAATCCTATTACCATAACTTTTGCTTTTTAATCCTATTCTCAGACAATGAAATGGGTGTTATGCCACCTTTAGTGGCCTCTGTTTTCCATTTCCCCCAGAGAAAATGCTGAGTAGGCTCCCCAAAGGGCAGGCTGGAATGTTGTAATGCTACAAGATCATCTCACTAAAAGTTCCTCTCAGGCTTTGGACCTTTTATGGTGGGGACTGAGAAACCAAACATCCACATTCCTTATCAATGAGAAATTAATCCACGAGTAATTTAATAATTTAGTACTGGAAACATGTTACTAGAGTTTTTGGGTCATCTGTGAAAACCTCAGAATTCTGACGCACACTAAGCATTAGCACAGGTCTGCAGCAGAAATGGAAAAGCTCATAAATTAATACAAGGGCTTTTGGCCTTGGTTTTCAAATTCAGACCAGGCATCATTTAGTTCCATGAAAATCATCTTTGCATATTGTTCATAAGGTTGCCCAGTAGCCTATAGAAAAAACAAAAATACACATTAGTACCACAGATGAAATTTTTGTTTATATTAAATTTTTCCCTGTTAATATGTCAGTTCCAAGTAACTGAAATGCTTTTCTATTTAAGCCATTTCTCTATGTGACCCTAATTACTGTAATCTCCCCATAATATCCTCCCCCTAAAAATTCACATAAGGTAGTAGGAATCAGTCAGTGAGTAGATCACAGAGAGCTTATTGGGCAGCAAAATATGCATTGCCATTCTCCAGAAGTATCTACCAATAATTAAGGTTCATGACAGCCTATCTCCAATTCACTGTCTGTATTTCTAAACTCCCATTTTTTCATCTCTAAAAAAAAATTAAGTTCTTTGAGACTCATAACAGGGGCATATGGTTTGTGGATTTTTCTGGGCTCCTGTTTTTCTTTCTCATTTGATTCATCAAAATTTAAGTATTAACACTTTTCTCATTAATTCTTCTATTCAGACTAGTTACAAAAAGTATGGAGAGATGAAAATTAAATACATCAAATTCAAGCACATGTTTCCAAGTGGCACTTCAATCATAGCTTCATGTCATACGACTGGTATAGTCCATATGACAGCAAGATGACTCACGTCTGCCTGAGATGTTTCTATGTATTTTGACGATATCAACTGGGCCATGTGGTAGTTAAAGTTTCTGACAATGTAGATCACTTATATGTATAGATACTTCGATGAAAACATAAACTGACATAATCAATGAATTTAAATCCATTTTGAATATTTCGTTGATTCTCACCAATTTTGCCAACTACATTCTAAAGCTTTTTTGCTGGCTAAATATACTACTGTATCTCCAAAGGAGAAAAACTTTCCTCTCTCCAGCTCTTAGCCTATCCTTACTATTGAAACTCAGGACTACGTCACTGGTAAATCTTACGTCCCTCTAAGTAAAACCCCTGTTCCATTATTTGTACCATATAGTTTGCGTTCTTTTTTGCTCACTTCATGAAGTGTAACTATTTAAATGCCTAATTTTAGTCCATGTACTAAGTTTTATTAAATAAATGGCCTAATCAGAAAATTGAAAGTATGATGTTTTAATACATGCTCATAAAATACTGAAATGAGGATAGGACAAGTGATAAGACAGGGCAGGTATACTCACTTTATCTGGGTGCACCACCAGCACAGCCTTCCTGTACACCTTCTTCACCTGCTCTGGTGTTACCAGGTCCGCCATGCCAACTGGTTTCCACTTGGTCTCCCCAGCCCATAGCACAGTGTGCATTGTGGAGAGAAGGGCTCTAATATTTCTCTCTTTGCCTTCAATCCATTCTAGAATCTGTAAATGCAGGGAGGATTAAGAAACTCAAATGCTTTCTAGTCTAGAAGTTTTGTGCTAGAACCCTGGAAACCCCTCCTGCTACAGCAACATAAAAATACCTAGGGTGCCCTGCACACTCCAAGTTGTTTCTTCTACCTGGTATGCTTTCCCATCTCCACCTCCTGCCTTGTATTTCTGGTTAACACTTCATCATACTTTAAAAGCCTGCTCAGGGGCCGGCCCCATGGCGCACTCGGGAGAGTGCGGCGCTGGGAGCGCAGTGACGCTCCCGCCGAGGGTTTGGATCCTATATAGGACTGTCCGGTGCGCTCAGCCAGTGAGCATGGTATGGGTGACACCACACCAAGGGTTGCGATCCCCTTACCGGTCACGAAAAAGACAAAAAATAAAATAAAATAAAAAAATAAAAGCCTGCTCAGGAATTTCACACTGTGCACCTTTGATAGTTTGAATTCCTTTCTCACTGCCCCCCCCCCGAGTTAATTACTCATTCCTAAAGTATAAATCCCATGCAAGTACACACTGCATCTGTTTTATTCTCTAAACTAACTAAATATCCCTTAAAGAAAAAGACCAAACTTCTCTGGGCTAATCTACCTTAAATGTCTTTCTATCATGATATGTGCCCAACTTTGTTTTAATTGTGTGTTTGTCTTTCCCTGACATATAGCAGATCTGTTTGAGGAAAGATGCTGTTTGTTATATATCGCTGTATCTCAGGAACCAAACAGCATACCTGGCACTGAATAGGTTTGTTAATCTATTTAGCCATTTATCTGAACTATGAACAAATGAGGTGATGAAGTTGAAGGGATTGTAACAATGCATCCGCATTTAGCACCTAAGAGTTCACCAAGTGTTTGTGGTTGGATGAATGGTTTAGTCATGTTAATGATGGTACTCTCCCAAAGAGTTAAACACTCTGTACCAGTTAAATAACCAAACATGCTTATTTATTTATTTATTTATTTATTTTCCTTTTTGTCTTTTTTCGTGACCGGCAATGGGATCGCAACCCTCGGTGTTGCACCCGCACCTCGCTCAGCCAGTGAGCGGGAACCAGTCTCCACATGGGATCCGAACCCTCAGCGGGAGCGCCGCAACGCTCCCAAGTGGTGCACTGTAGCAGTGCGCCACCGGCCGGCCCAAACATGCTTATTTAAAAGAAATAAACAACCTTCTTTTATAGAAAACTGTCAGAGTTTGCCTAATGAGCAAAGGTTATGGAGATGGAGCACAAAGTTTTTGGAAAGAATATTAAGCCTGTGTGATGTCATGGAAAGTGAAAAACAAATGCAAACAGGAGATCCTACATCGTACTCAAAAAAGTATCAAACGGGCCGGCCCCGTGGCTCACTCAGGAGAGTGCGGCGCTGTGAGCATCGAGGCCGTGGGTTCAGATCCTGTACAGGGATGGCCGGTGCGCTCATTGTCTGAGCGTGGTGTGCACCACACCATGCTGAGGGTTGCGATCCCCTTACCGGTCAGGAAAAAAAAAAAAAAGTATCAAAGAATCTGTACACGCACAACAAATATTCAAATCTGTCAGGAAATTATGGAGAACACTCATATATTTTTTCAAAATGTGTAAGATTGACTTGCTGTGTACATCCTGGTTTTGGAGATGCTTTAATGCAGAGACAGATCAGATCCTACTCTTTCAGTTTGTTATAGTTTCAGCACATTTAGTATTTTGTCACATAGAAATTCAGCCTCCCCATCTGTGAAGAGCATTCCAATTCTCTTGATCTTTACAAGCTCTTCCAAGGCCTCACACCATTCATCAATGTACCAACATAACCACCCTTCTGTTTCCAAGCTAATCTGTGTCCGCCTGTCCACACAACAACCTCATCTATGAAGTAAAGTTTGTTTCCTTCTATGAAATAAGGGGGTTAGATCTGTTGATTTGCAAACTTTAAAAAACAAACAAAAAAATGCAGAAACATTATTTTTCCACAAATCAAATCTTACGTATGCCTCCAGAATCAAAAACGGATAAGAGTAGAACTGCTCTGGGCAACAGTGGATGAGGCAATGGGGAAGACAGCGTTCACACTTCCCTCAGCCTTCCTCTCCTCCACCTTCCCTAACCTACACATCTAATCTTACAGGAGTTAGTAATTCCCAGGTACATAAATATTTCTCTCTGTATCAGCAGGCTAAAGATCCTGGGAGCTTCAGTCAATTTGATCTAATAAAAAGCTCTCAAGGCAGAAAGAGAAAACATAAATAAAGCATTCTTCTTACCACCAAATTCTAATGATTTGTCTGTAGAATCTGAATGCCATCTGAATATCAAAATCATATCTTAAAGAGTACCACTACTCAAAAGAAACCTATATTACCAAACCATGGGATAAATTTTATTTTATTGAAAAAGTTAGGGCCGGCCCGGTGGCGCACTGTTATAGTGCGCCGCTTGGGAGCACAGTGGCGCTCCCGCCGAGGGTTCGGATCCCACATACAGACCAGTTCCCGCTCACTGGCTGAGCGAGGTGTGGGAGCAACACCGAGGGTTGTGATCCCGTTGCCGGTCCCGGTCCGGTACGGGCGCGACACTGAGGGTTGCGATCCGTTGCCGGACATGGAAAAAGACAAAAAGGAAAAAAAAGAAAAAGTTAAACAGCCTGTGCAACCCTCTGCAAAGCTACTTTACTATTAAAGGGCACAGCTGTACTCAAGTCACAGATTCAGGGACCATGCAAAATATGGTAGTCACCAGAAGTCTAACATGGTGCCTTCTTTAGGTGCTATGGTCTGAATGTTTGTGTACCCCCAAGATTCATATGTTGAAATTCTAACCCCCAAAGTGATGATTTTAGGAGGTGGAGCCTTTGGGAGGTGATTATATTTGGGAGGGCTCTGCCCTCATGAATGGGATTAGTGCTCTTATAAAAGAGGTCTGAGAAAAACCCCTCTTCCCTCTGCCATGTGAGGGCACAGAGAGAGAAAAGACCACCGACTGTGAACCAGGAAGAGGGCCCTCACCAAAAACTGATCCTACTGGTACTCTGATCTTGGACTTCCAGCCTCCAGAACTGTGAGAAATAAATTTCTATTGTTTATAAACCACCCAGTTTGTGGTATTTTGTTATAGCAGCCTGAATGAACTAAAACAATAGGTTAGTCTCATGTTGATGACTCCAAATACATGTCTTTATCAGATGACCTTATCACATAGGATAAGCACACTGAGTCAGGGGCTCACTCACCTTTAATTTCTCAGGATCCATTTCCTTAGCCAACTCCTCCTTTCTCATCTCAGCTATTGTTCGAGGCCCCTTTTTGTCTTTGTGAGCATTGAAACCCTGACCAGAAAGCAGCTCTTCAAAGTCAGCTGCTTTTTGCTTCCCTTCTGCAATATAATTTTTGAAAATAATTATAGCATTTATTCTTAAACATAATATCATACCATTATCTCAGAGCACTTAGAGTCTTCAGGGTGCTTTTACATATCTTAAACCCCTTATGCCTCATACTTACCTTGTGAGCAAGGTAAGAGACTCTTGTGCCCATTTTACAGATGAGAAAATTGAAGTCTGGAGATCTGTGCAGAATCATATAATATGTACATGGAAGGCTAGGCCTGGAGGTTGGATCATTAAACTAAATCCAATTCCATTTCTATTGTACCTTCTTTTTAGAAGAGGACACTCATATAATTTCCTCAATCATAACTAATTAGCATCAGTGATAGGAATAGGAACTGGGTTTTGGTACTTGAAATCCATTCATGCTACTACTCTCCTGCCCACACCCAACTGACAGTTTTCGTTGATCACAGTACTCTTTCCTCCAAGTCTGGTTGTGACCTCACGATCTTTCTCAATCTGTTTGAAGAGGCAGCCGAGCATGGTGGCAAAGAAGAAAGGCTCTAGAGCCAGACTCCCATGTTTAAATTCCAACTCTGCCAGGTATTAGGGATGTGACTTCAGGCAAGTTATTTACCATCTCTGTGCCTCAGTTTCCTCACCTGCTAAATGGGGATGGTGTTAATAATATTACTTACCTCATAGGATTGCTGCTCATTCATAGAGAATGAATAAGTTAACATTTAAAACAGTGCTTGGCGATATAAATTTTGTTAGACTAAAATGAAAAATGAACCAAAACACAGAAGTCCATGTAGTCAATGCCAATCAACCAAAATCAGTTTTTGAGTTGAAATCCATTTGCCATCTCTATAGTCTAAGATGTTCTGGACACACACAAGTGCACACGCCCCAATGTAAGTGCTCTAAGACTAGGGATTTTATCTGTCTCATTCACTGATCTACCCCAGTGTTTTCTACACTGAAGATACTCCCTAAGTATTTGCTGATTGAAGATATCCACATCTACTCAAAGTAAAAATGGAGGGGAAGCCACATGACTCTATAGAATTGTCTAAGGAATACCCCTGCTAACCAAAGAATAAGCATGATGTTACATATTCCCAACAACACAAGTAGAATTCCTGTCATGTTAATTTTAGTGTCATGTTAATGAGAAGGCACCTATGTCATAGTCAGTGGAGTATGGCAGTTAACAGCAGGGGTCCTGGAGCCAGATTGCCAGGGTTCAAATTGTGGCTCTGTCATTTATAAGCTGTAAGAATTTAAGAAATTATTAGTCTGTGTTTCATAGATTCCTCATCTACAATATGGGGTTGGTTTTGAAAATTATATGAAATAATACATAAAAAATACTTAAAATAGCACCAGGCAAATAGTAAGCACTCAATAAATGTTAGCCACTGCTACTAGGAAAAATAGAAGAATTGCCTTTTCCATGTTTCATAGAAAGAAAGGCCTGTTCCTTCATTATGTCCCCATATACTTCATTGTAGGGTATCATCAAATCAACTGAAATGTAAAATGTATAAAAACAGGCCTTTCAACAAATTCAATTCTAACCATCCCTCCTATTCAAAATATATTATTTTTTACACTTCTCAAGAATCCCACACAGAGTGTTCTCCAGCCTCAGGTGCTGGCACCATCACAGGTGCCCCACTGGTCACAGGAATCCACCAACCAGAGTACAAGAAAGACCAATGTCCAGGACAGAAACACTCCTCTAATTGGGATCTAAGGGTATATCTGAACACAGTGTTTGAAAGGTTCTCAATCTTTTTCTTTCACCTCCTCTTTCAAAACTTTAAGATCCATCCACCCCTCCACTCACATCCATTCAATGTTCACTCAGTGCCTACTACATGCCAAACACTTTGCTAGGTGCTAATGACAACATGGCAAATAAGACACAGTTCCTGCCCTCCATTTAGTTCCAGTCTACAGAGATACAGACAAGTGAGCCAGCAGTCACAAAATGTGTAAATGTTAGGAGCATGGTAAACCCAGTGTGCTCCAGGTACCACATTGGGAGATGAGATTATGTGGTGTCTCTACAACTATACGATTGCCTCCAAAATTACTGGAATTGTTTTCTGTCTCCTTCAGACACACATACCCAGGCAGTCTGACAGCTAGGCCCCACACTATCATCCTTACCCAGATTAGTTGATCCTTTCCCACGTTCATTCTGGCCTCCAGGCATGGCTGAGAAGCTCACGTTGTAGTTGGGTCGGTTCTGGGGAGAGGAGTGAGGCATGCTGGGCTGTGGCTTAGACTGTGACTGCTGCCAGCTGTAGCCACCTCCTTGCTGCCACCCTCCACCCACAGGCTGCGGAGATGCTTTCTGTGGCGAGCTGAGAGGTGGAAATCCTCCACCCAATCCAGTTGGTGTGGTGGGTTTGCTGGCAAATGAAGAACTACCTACAGAAAAAAAAAAAAAAGGGAGAATGAAGGTAAGGTTATTTTAAGTAGCCTCTAACTCTTGTGTCTCAAGATATTGTTTGCAATGATTTTAGTGGAAATTGCCTTGACTGATAGAATAATTAACCTTTCTAGTAAATAAAGAAGTTGTAGGCATATAAATTAATTCCTTAATCCCCAAAATACATTTTTAGGTATGTATTAATAGCCTCATTTTTTCTTCAGATGAACAAACTTGAACTCAGAGTTGCAGTTGTAATTTTTTAAGTAATTTTTTCAAGACACACAGCCAGTAACTGGCAGAACTAACACTTGAATCTAGAACTTTAACTCCAAGCTAGATGAGCCCTGGCTCTGCTCACCATGCAATCCCTCCCAGCCCTCCTGCTTTCTAAACAGATTCTATTTCTTCACTAGAGTGAAAAACTACCAAATGACAAGAACAGGAAATAAAAACAGAGTAAGTTCATTCATTAAAGAGCTACTTTGACTTCAATTATCAGGATTAGTCATAGCATGGTTATTGCCTAAGAGTATATAAAGATATTTTGAAATTTCACAAGTAGATTTCAATTTCATACTCCATGTATTTCATTGCAGGACAGCAAAAACAGCCAGCACTCTGACAACTTTGAACGGGACAAAGAATCTTATTCAAGCTTTAAAAAATGATGCAACTTTGTGCCAGGAATTTAAGTAGAATCCTTATTCCATTGTCTCCAAACTTTTAAGCCCTCACTGCATGTATGCTGGGCTATTTCCAAAATATGAAGACCAGCTGTGGCTTATGTTTAAAGAGATAAAATAAGAAATTGAAATGTGGTGATCTCCAAGGATCCTTTCATGCAACAAGCCCAAACAGTGATAATACAATAATTAATATTTATATAGCACTTTAGAGTTTACAAAATGTTTTTATGTACATTACGGCCTTTGATCTACACAATATCCTTAGGAGGTAAGTAGTATTACTGTCCCTACTTTAAGGATGAGGATATCAAGGCTCAGAGAGGTTTATTGATATGCTCATAGTCACACAGTTAGTTGATGGAGCTGAGACTTAACCATATTGTTCCTATCACCAAATGTCATGCTCATTTGCCTCATAATCCCTATTTCCTCCCCAAATATCTCAGCCTTTCACTACAACTCGCCCCTTGCTGTCTCTTCTTTCTATAGATATTTCTCCTATATTCTGATCCTGGGACTTCTCTTTCCTTCCCCACTGGGAATGTAGTATTATGGCAACTGGACTTGGAGTTAATCTGGGTTTGAGTCCCTGCTCTATAACTCATGAATCATTCATCTTTCCATGCATTTATTCATTCATGCATTTATTCATCCACCAGTATTTGTTGAACATCTATTATGTGCCAGGTACTACATGGGCACTGAGCATCTAACTGAAACAGAATATAGAAAGTCCTTGCTCTTCTAAATCTAGTGAAAAGCTTCACCTCTTTGAGCCTCAGTTTCCTCATCTATGAAATCAAAACTATGCCTATATCACAGATATACTAAAGAGACTCAACAGTTACATAAAAGTGCTTCACAACCCTTGACTGAAGTAAGCTAAGAGGCATTATATATTATAAAATAACGCCAAACTCATATGCCAAGCATATGCCTGGTACTCCATAAGGGCTCAGTAAATACTTGATAATAGGGAAAGGTAATGGCAGGGCCTGTACTCAAGCCTGGCATTGCCCCCATTGTTCTGTAACTCACAGCATGAAGCATCTCCTCATGTGCCCTGGGCCCTCTTGCCAACAGCACATCAACATACACTTAAGGCTGGGTTTCTTTTTATATTTTAAGGAGGTTTACTTTGTTCTAAATTATGAACTATTTTAAAATTCAGTAAATATGGAAAAGCCTAAAAAACAAACAAAAAAACCCTTCCACATTCCCACCACACTCATTTACTCATTCATTTATGAAATACTATTGAGCATCTACGTGCTGGGCTGCAGATACAGTGGTGAGAAGGCAGATGCTGACTTTGCTCTCACAGGCTTCATCAACATTGTAGGATTTTCTGATGTCTACCTTTCCAGAATATTTTCTACTCATGCTCAGCAATTCTAATTGTCAATGCTATTGAAGCAGAGAACTGACAAATACGAAGCAGTAGCTAAACCCAGAGGCCAATGCTATCCTCATTAAAAGCTAAAGCAGCACTTCTCAGCACATTGGAATTACCTGGGGAGTTTTTTGTGTTTTGTTTTAATGTCTCATCATGTGCAGCACCTACAATAGTGGATATTTTACACTTGATTAAGGTTACTCTCTCCTGCTATATCATAAGCTCCAGCAGGAATGTATCTGCCTTGATTCTTTATTATAGCCTGAATGCCCACTGCATAGCAAGTTCTCAAAAATACCTATTTAATGAGGGAGTTAATGCTGCAGGTAGAAAACCACTGTCTAAGGAACTGAAGCGATACTCCTTCCCACACTCAGCCTCACCAGCTTCTAAACCTGTTTCTGCTCCAGAGTTTCTAAGACCTCCTAGTAAGTCTGGGAGGAATTAAAATTCTCCTCTCCCTCAATTTTCCTTTTAATCCATTCACAACTTCTAATGATCTCCTCTATCAGGTGGTTCTTCTGCCACGACTGAGTTCAGATAATCACCTTGTCCCGCAGCAGCCTGCAGTTGGCTCTTCCCGTGCCTGCTCTTGCCCTCATTCTTACTGTCTCTCTTAAATGTGTCCAGAGACATCTTCCTAAAATGCAAAACTAACTGCCCTCTCAATTTGCCCTCAGGTTAAAGTCCAAACCAACTGTGAAGTCTTTCATGTGTCAGCCTCACCTGTTCAACCCCATCTCTCCCTGCTCCTTCCCGTCACAGGTCCCCAGCTTGCACCGCCAGCACTCATGTGGGACCTTTAAACATGCCCTTCCTTCCCCCTGGCTCTCTTCCCTGACTCATATCCTAACTATATCACCACCTCTGCCAGCCCTTCCCTAGACACCAGACTCTGGCTTAGGTGATCTCAGAACCCCTGTGAACTACTTCAATCCTCTAGCTCCTTTCGTACTGTATTACAGTTGCTATGTAACCGAGGTGGTCACCTGGGGAGCTTGTAACACTCCCTCTGCACAAGCCACATCCAGACTAAGAATATCAGAGTGTCTATGGAAAGAACCAAGACATCAGAAGTGCATCAGAATTGGTTATTGGATAATAATGCCTTAAGGAAAAAGACACTGTCTTCTGTCTTCTCTCAACTGCAACTGTATAATTTGGAAGTTTAATTTTTACTCTCAGAGTACTCGCCTAGGAGTCAAAAATTCTGGCTTGTAGCTCTCACTTATATGCCTGTTCACTGTGTGGCTTTAGGAAAGCCACTTAATTTTTCTAAGTTATTCAATTTAATAAATGGGGAGATTTAGGAAACCAGTTTCCTCAGAGGAAAGCTGTAAGAATTATTGCATTTCAAAAACGACAGAGACTCTTGAGCAGGTTTGCTGTTTGTAGCAATACAGACACAGACGCAGCTATTCTGAAACTATTTATGTTGTCTAACTGTAAATGTTGTTGCAATCTAGGGAAACAGAAGATACAAATATGGATAGAAGGCAGGGAAGAACGCTGTGGTATTGGATTGTAATTATACATACTTGTTTGTTCATCTCCTATCTCTGTCTCCTGAAAGGTAGCACAATGACCAATGAACACACGTAGCACACAGACCTCAATGTCTAAACGCCATTCCTCACCAAAGGGAATGAGGGGTCCTTGGAGAATGACTGCTTCTAGAACTGTGGAGTAAAAAGTTCTAGATAAGCCTTGAACATCCTGTTCCATAAAGGAAGAAAGTTCTCAAAAACTGATGGAATCCAGTGAAAAGGACATAGAAGCCAGAACAAAGGAGCTTTCATAAACCAAATCAAGGATGAGGTTATCAAAGTAAATAGTGACAGTAATGGATGATAACCTATTGAACCAAAGAAGAATCCATTAGTCCATCCTGTTGATAGCCATAGATGATAGAGATGATCATGACAGATAGATAAATGGATAGATAGGTAGACAGGAGATTATTCCCTACAGTAAAGTGCTAAGACAGAATTAGAAAATCACAATTTTGCAAACATCATGGTAATAATTTCTTTAGGTCAGAATCATTAATAAATGCTAAAACCAGATGGGTAAAAGTCAGATGGAAAATAGGATATTCTCAAATAGGATTATCTCAAGTAGAATAGTCTCAAAATACCTGTCCCAGAATACTTACTAATTGCAAAGGGAAAATGGTAAATTAATAGTGAAGAAACCTGGCAGATACCACCTTAAACAAGTGATCAAAGTTAACATCAAAGCCAAACTGAGACTTTCTGGATTGGCCTGTACCCTTCAAATATCAATGTCATGAAAGATAAGGAAAGGCTGAGGAATTATTCCAGATTAAAGGAGTCTAAGAAGACATGACAACTAAATGCAAAACATGGTGCTGCATTTTTTTTTAATTGAAACACAGTTGATTGTACATATCTGTGGGGTACAGAGTTGAATATCAGTACTGGTGTGCAATGTGTGATGCTCAAATTAGGATAATTAGTATATTCACCATTATACAATGTAATCGATTTTTGAGGCCCTTTACCAATTCCTTCCTTACCCCTCACCCTCTCCCTTTCCTACGTCTGGTAACTTCAGTTCTGTTCTCTCCTTTTGAAAGTTCAATGAATTATTGTGATGGTTTTATCTTTCTTTTTTTTTTTTTTTTTTTTTCCTGTGGCTTTTAGCTCCCAATTATAACTGAGGTCATGCACTATTTCTCTTTCTGTGCCTAACTTATTGCACTTAACATAATTTTATCTAAGTTCACGCATTTTGCTGCAAATGGCAGTATTTCATTCTTTTTACAGCAGAGTAGTATTGCATTGTGTAAATACACCACATTTTCCTTATCCAGTCATGCAACAATGGACATTTTTTCCAGTAATTAAAAATTTTAGGGCCGGCCCGGTGGCGCACTGGATAGTGCGCCGCT